AGAGAAATACATTTGACTTTCATGATGTTGAAAAATAAAATCAGTTCAAAACAAAAAAATCAATATTTTTTTAATATCTGTTTATTTAGGTAACAGACCTATAGTGCTATTTAGTATCTTTTCTTCACTCAAATGTGAGGAGAAAAATGGTAGTGTTCATTACCTTGAGGTACTCTAACATCAACAACATAGCTGACACGTACACCATTGTGCTTGACAAATCACTATTCTCCCACTCAGTTAAACTATCACACTGACAGGAGAAAAACGAATCCACTTTGTTGCAGACTGTCAAACATACTTTGCCTTCCAACCTCCACTACTCTAGCTAAGTGAAATGTATCAAACCATTTAACTGTGACTGTCACTGGAGGGGAAAGAAAAAAAAAGTACCGTTTTAACAAAAAAAAACAAACCACACAACCAAATCTGAATACTCCTCCCAAACTTCCAAAGAGACCAATAACATTAAATACACATTTCTAACTGTTATAATGAAAATGTTCTAAGGAACTTTTAGAAACAGATTCTGCACCCTTCTCTCTTTGTACATGATACCTGCCTTACCTTATGATTTTATTTTTATCAGCAGATATCAGTATTCTTCAGCTGAAAAATAATTGTATAAGGCCAAATCCTTATCAGGTTTTTGTTTGTTTGTTTGTTTGCTTTTATGGCAGTATGAAGTTTCCTCATAGTTCAAAAGTCACTGTCTGAAAAAGTTAAGAGGTAAGGTAGTAGGCAGACCTCTGTCCTCATCATGCGCACTTTTGTTACATGGCATTCCAGTAAGGACAGATGACAGGCAAGTGGATGACGTGCCACACTATGTTAATTCCTGGATATTGTAAAACCACCTGGAGTCTTACATACTGCCATAGAGTATGATTGCTCTTATATAATGAATGATGTGCATCTCCTTGATGAGGAAAAGATAAAAGCTAAAGGCCTATTTAATTCTGCTGAGTGATGCTCTGATACAGATGTACAACTGAGTTGTTTTGACGTTAATTTAGCTCACTATTCTTCCTGGTACTTTGAAACTACAAGGAAGAACAATGTTTTGCCACACAGTTGTCCTCAACATTCTGCCAAGTAACTGTTAGCAGCTAAGCAAAGTGACATCTGTGCATGTGGCAATTGTCTTTACTCTGAAGCTATTTCTCTTAAATGTAAGCCTAAGGGCCTGAATTATCATTTCCTGGCATCTTGCCATTTGCAGGGTATTATTTCTACACCCATTTTTCACTAACGGAAATAAATACTGAAGTGGAAGATACTGAGATATTAAATTCTGTTATCAAGTACCATGTTATTTTTTCTTCTGTGTTTTGTTTTATTTTTTCTCTTACACTAATTTTAGATCTCTTAAAATTTGAAAAAATAACAATATTAGCAGTTCTGATACAATATTAAAAGTTTACTAGTGTCACTTTCATTGACTGTGGAACTAGGTGATCTTCTAGGTCCTTTCCAACCCAAACCAATCTATGATTCTATGACCGGATTAGTGTTTCAATTGGATCTTAATTATTTAAAATAATAAGCTACTTTTAGTTTTCTGTGTAAAATTAAACTGGTTTAATGTAAATCATGTCATCCTGTTGTTCTAAGCCCTTCCATCTGGGCTCCAGTTGCTCCTTCAAATGAGGAGCATGAGTTTTCATAGGCTCTATGGCATGTCCATGAAAACCATTCACATCTTGAATATTCAAGGACAGCTAAAATAACACTAGATACCTAGCATTTCTCTTTTGTCTCCCCCTTAACTGCACCTCCAGTATTATCTATAAAGATAATACTTACTATTATCTTTACCTGTCCAGAACAAAGACAGTAATAAAATAAAAATGTTGTCACCATATTTACTCTTCTTTCTGAACTAAATTAGTCTCAGTCATAGGAAGAGGAAACAATAATTATTCATTAATAAAAAACATTTTGATTTTTGGAAGCCACCAAGTTTGAATTCCATAGCAAATTGGTGACACCTCAAAAGGACTAATAAGGAAGTTGATTTGTTAACAGAGATAACATGTGGTCAGATCCTCCAACTACGGAAATTAGTTTAGCACCATCAAAGTCATTATTTCTATGCAAATTTGAAAGAACTGAGAATCTAACTTTTATATGCAGTTTAGAAAAAAATTTTCTGTCAGAAACTTATGTACAAAGAATATGAAGAACGCACATTTCTTTATACAAATAGGTAAGACATTAACAGTAAACTAAAGTAAATAATTTATCTTTCAGTTTATCAAGACTTCAATGTTAAGTTTAGCATACCTATGTAGACATGTTGTGATTAAGATTTTATTTTACTCTAGAAATTGAAATTAAAGAAAGAAAGTTCATGCATAGTCAGTTTACAAAAGTTTTTACTTAGAGGAAGATAAATGCAGGTCAGAATTCGGGTTTTGGCATCATAAGAGTCATGCACAGAAACCAAATGGCTTTACTGCACTCTGGACAAGATTTTTCTGTCTGCACAAGAGTGAGAAGCATTGTTTCATTTGCAAACAGTTCTAAACTTGTGCATGCAGAAGTTGCTGCCTTCTTTAAAAAGTGGCCTTTAAGGAAAAAGACATTATAAAAACTATTTATTTTTCATTGATAGGAAGCAGTTTCTTGATTTGCTTGAAAGGCATCCAGGAGTAAGCTTTTTTTTTTCTTGTGAGTTGAAAAAAAATACAAAATTACACAGAATAAATAGTAAATATAAATCTAACTAGAATTCATTGCAAAAATAAACCTGCGGTATTCTACTTTTTTTTTATTATTATTATTATTTATTTACTACTTTCCCCACAACACTTTATTTTCTTCTGATTTCAGAAAATATAACATATTTTTGTACAAACATCTAACTACTACTATTATTCCTTATGTGTGTGTATTGTTTCAATTATTACATCTGGGAGTTGCTTTTGTGTAGGGTAGGAAAGGACCTGTATTTGCTCTTGGAAGTTCCTAGCCACAGCTAACTCATATCCTCCAAGAATATTTAAAGCCAGCACAGAAGTTACATATATATATATATATATATATAATACAAAAGGACTAATAAGGAAGTTGATTTGTTAACAGAGATAACATGTGGTCAGATCCTCCAACTACGGAAATTAGTTTAGCACCATCAAAGTCATTATTTCTATGCAAATTTGAAAGAACTGAGAATCTAACTTTTATATGCAGTTTAGAAAAAAATTTTCTGTCAGAAACTTATGTACAAAGAATATGAAGAACGCACATTTCTTTATACAAATAGGTAAGACATTAACAGTAAACTAAAGTAAATAATTTATCTTTCAGTTTATCAAGACTTCAATGTTAAATTTAGCATACCTATGTAGACATGTTGTGATTAAGATTTTATTTTACTCTAGAAATTGAAATTAAAGAAAGAAAGTTCATGCATAGTCAGTTTACAAAAGTTTTTACTTAGAGGAAGATAAATGCAGGTCAGAATTCAGGTTTTGGCATCATAAGAGTCATGCACAGAAACCAAATGGCTTTACTGCACTCTGGACAAGATTTTTCTGTCTGCACAAGAGTGAGAAGCATTGTTTCATTTGCAAACAGTTCTAAACTTGTGCATGCAGAAGTTGCTGCCTTCTTTAAAAAGTGGCCTTTAAGGAAAAAGACATTATAAAAACTATTTATTTTTCATTGATAGGAAGCAGTTTCTTGATTTGCTTGAAAGGCATCCAGGAGTAAGCTTTTTTTTTTCTTGTGAGTTGAAAAAAAATACAAAATTACACAGAATAAATAGTAAATATAAATCTAACTAGAATTCATTGCAAAAATAAACCTGCGGTATTCTACTTTTTTATTATTATTATTATTATTTATTTACTACTTTCCCCACAACACTTTATTTTCTTCTGATTTCAGAAAATATAACATATTTTTGTACAAACATCTAACTACTACTATTATTCCTTATGTGTGTGTATTGTTTCAATTATTACATCTGGGAGTTGCTTTTGTGTAGGGTAGGAAAGGACCTGTATTTGCTCTTGGAAGTTCCTAGCCACAGCTAACTCATATCCTCCAAGAATATTTAAAGCCAGCACAGAAGTTACATATATATATATATTTATATATATATAAAATCAAAATTATTTAACACAGTAACATATTTACAACTGATTCTCAGTAGCTTTTCAAATTGCCCAGGATTAAGAGTTGAAATACCAGTGATGCACAATATTTTATAGCAGCAGCTCAAGAAATGATTGTCCAAACTTAGGTAAAGCTATCAGATAGAAAATGTAGCAAAAGACTTGATTTTCTGTTGTTGTTGGGGATGGTGAGTAAGCATAGGTACATTTTTTTCCTTCCAAATACTGATAGAAAATGCATATGATGAAGTTTTGTGTAAAATACTTAAATATTTGCAAGCTCTGGGTGCATACAAAAAATCTTTTATTTTTGTGTGTGTGTGTTGGTTTTTCTTTTTGTTTTAAACTGACATTTAGTATGACAACATTTCAGTTCCTTTCATATTTATTATAAGGTTTTGTTGGGTGTAGTTGTAGGCAGTGGTCGTGTATGCAGTGCGTGTACTAACCTAGCCAATACACTCTAACGTTATCTGTACAAACACAGGTGCTTTTATGAAAAGGAATCTAATTAAATTGAGGGGATAAAAGAAAAAGTAAGGATAAAAAATACTTTTCCATAAATTTGGTATGGAATGGAGAGTGCCATACACACCTTTTTAAAATACTGTGGAAAGCTGCAATAAGCAATCTACCTCTCACAGGTCAGTTCCTCCCACAGGTTATACAAATGTGATGTGTAACTTGGGGTGAGACTTGTTGCCTGCACACAACCTCATGGCTTCCCACAGTGATCCCTGAGTTTGTTTTTTTCTAGGATTACTGCTGTGCTTAACTTCTGACTGTGACATGTTATTATAAGGCACTTTTATTTACAGTGGTTCCAATGTAAAATAGAATTACATAAATTCATCCCCAGCCCAACATATTGTCACTTCATGTTTGTTGCTCCAGGACTTCCAAATAGTCGGGCTCGGTATGTAAATTAGCTTTGAGCTCAAAATATTCGTTTTTAGTTTGTTCTAGAAAAACCTTTCTTGGCCTAGAGTACATTAGTGTCTCCATTAGCTTCAGCTCCTCATGTGTTCCAGGATAATGAACTTCCATGTCAGGCTGAAGATGGACAATATTTTTTCTTAGATACTCCGTGATTCCTAGTTGCTGCAGTTCTCTCTCTTTTTCAATAATGTTTCTATACAAACAGCTGGCATCCTGAAAAGACAGAAATTCAGCAGATTGATCTGTAGCTTTATATTTGACGTTTGAACCTGTACAAGGTGAACTGTTCTCTCTTTCCAGGAGACTTCGGCGGAGATGTTTAGGATCATTAGCTTGCTTTTCACTTCCCCCCTCTTGTAGCTCATTATGCTGGGGGCTGAATGAGGGGCTGCGGTAGACCTGAACCATGGGAGTAACCATACATTGCTCATAGAGGGTTGCAGCTGGGCGCTCCGTTGTGTGGTGTGTTGTCTTATGTCCATACATGCTGTACTGAAGGTGAACTGGGCTACTCTCCCTCATTTGTTCATCTGCTTGTTTCTTTTTACATCTTCGTCTTCGATGCAGAACAAGAACAACTATT